CTTCCCAGCAGCGGCTGAATGGCTGCCCTGCGCTCAGAGGCGAGAGGAGCATTCAGCTTCTGATTCCAGGGAGAGCCTGACGGGCTTTTATTGCTTTTGTACAAATTACGGCTGCTCGGAAGTGCCCAAGGAGCAGGGTAATGGATGTCATAAACCTGCCTCATAACGACGGAGCCTATACTGCATGGCTGTGTGCGGGGTGGGTTAGGGGAGGCCCGCGATGGCCAGAGCAAGCAGATGGCTCTGCTGTCAGGGGGGCTGAACTGCTCCTAGGTGGGCATGGGGCAGGCAGGTCTCAACGTGGCTCAGGGGCTCCCCGGGCACATGTCCACCAGCTTTCTTGCCCTTGGATGCTCACTAGAGTCGAGTTCCCCACCACGTGCCGTACCTCCTCTTCAACCACAATTGTCCCTGGCTCATGGAGCAAAGCTGGCTAGTGACCCACATGCGGCCGACCAGGTACCCCATCCCCAGGAGTCTCTCTGCCTGCCCTCCCGAGCCCCAGGCCCAAAGTTCCCAGAAAGCAAGACTGTGCCCCTTCTATCAGTGGATGAGGGTGGCGGGGTGAGAAACCTGAGTGCAGAGCCAAGAGCCACAGCTACCATTTCCAGTGCACGCACACACGTGTCAACACACACAGGCACTCAGAGCCCGCGGGACACACGGCCCTGCTGTTGTGCTAAGAGCTTGACTGGCTTTGTCCATCACCACACTGGACAGGGCCTGGCCACCGCAGGTGCTCGGCAGATGTGTGCGGGCTGCTGTTAGCTGTTACATACACGTGTGCATGCCTGTCTTCCCCAGTAGAAGCTGTTGTGCCCCAGCGAGTGTGACAGGCCCTGTCAGGATGGGTAGGGGCTCCGGGTGGTGGCCTGTACTTCCTCAGGCTGCCATGCACCTGTACCCCTCTCACGAGTTGCTGACACAGCTCTTACAGAGAGGAGGGGTCCACAGCCTCTCCCCATGAACAGAGGCGGGGAGGCTGTGATAACAGAGCATCAGGAAGCTAGGCCACACCACTGCTACTGCTTCCTCCTGGCTCTCGGGACCCTGGTAACCCGCCGCCATGCTGTAAGGAAGTCCAACCAGCCGATGGAGGTAGGCCCCATGTCGGGGGAACAGAGGCCGCCAACCATGAGCTGGCATCAAGCTCCAGACATCAAGAGCCTTTCATGACCCTACCCCCCAGATGTCTAGGTGTTTCCGAAATGAGCCCCCGCCCCCCCAGGCTTCCTCAGCAACTGCTTGTCTGGCACAGCAGCAGCCTGGGCCCTGCCAGCCCTCATGTCAGCTTTGCCTGGGCCACACCAGCAGCTAGCTTCCACTCTGTCCAACTGCCCAGACTCCCAGGGGAAGGGACTGGCCAGGGGTGTGCTATAGGCTGCATCAGGCCCTCGTGGCCCCAAGCAAGATGACACTCAACTGTGCCAAGAGCCCAAAGTGTACCTGCCTGAGACGGGAGATGGGAGGTGCTGCGGGGGAGGTAATGGGAGATTAGCAGGCTCTCTGAGAAATTAGCTGTCAGCAGCCCAACCAGCGAGCCAAAATTCATTTCCAGAAATCCCCTGGAGGCAATCAAGCCAATCAGCTAATTATGCCTCGTGCGTATGTATGTGTGTGCGCGGGGGCTACCCTGGCGGTTTGGCAGGTGGGGCCCCACCCGACTCTGGTGAGCACCCCCGGCCCTCTGCACCTGGTGTGGAGGCTGCCTAGCCGGGGTACAGGCAGGCGACTCCCTTCTCTCAATCCCACCACAGCTCTGCTGGGAACCCAGTTAGAGCCTCACCTCCCAGCCCGCCCACCTGCTGTTCCTGCCGGTGGTGACCCCTCCCACCGCAGGGCCTTTGCGTGTCAGGGCAGGGTTGGGAGGTCTCGCCAGGCTACTCAAGCGTCTTCATGGCGCTCACCACCTCCCCAGGGGCAGGGACACTGGCTGTTTGGTTCCTTCCAGTGGCGGTGATACTCAATAAATGTCTGTTGAGGGGAGGAGGAACCTGGATGTGAGAGCTGTACCCCAGCCCAGGGAGGGTGGGAGGACGGCAGCTCGGGCTGAGATCCAGCTAGTGAGGGTGGGAGAGGCACCTGGAGGCCAGCAGCAGGCTGGGTTCTGGTGCCGCGGGCTGGGGCGGGCAGGCTTCCTTCAGAGGGTGACAGCGAGGGGCCTGGTGCGGGGACTGGATGGGAGGGGTTGGCAGGGAAAGCCTGGGTGAGCCTGGAGTGGGTAGTGGGTCTGAGCTCGGAGTGTGGCCCTGAGCGGAGGCCCCTCCCGACAGTGGGGGCTGCAAGGGGTTCTCTGCCCCCTCCCCGACCACACCCACCCTGAGGACACCTGCCCGGACGCCGGATCACCTGTGTCCTCAGCCCTGTCCCCAGGCTACACACTCAGGGTGGGGGCAGGGCAGCCTCCTGCCTGTGAGGCGTCTAGGTCCTCATTTCTCTTTAATAAAGGAAACTCCCAAGTCCCCTGCTTCGGCAGGAGATGGATCCTCGTGTCCTTGGTTGCAAGCAGTCAAATTAAGAAAATTACTTTCTAACTAATTTTATGGCACTAACGAACCTCTGGCGGCGTGCTGGAGAGCTTTCGGGACATACGATGTTGAGAATGGGCAATAATTGGGGATTTGCTGGGGATAAATCTTGGCAAATTAAACTTTTAAGTATGATCTATAATCCAGGTCAGACAACAAATACCCTGTGTCACCTAGCACGGGGACGTTGTGGGGAGAGGCAAGGACAAGCATGACCCCTCCTGAGCCTGAGGCCCTAAATGCTGACACACAAACAGCAAGGTGTGTGCAAATGTACACACCTACGCACAATGCCACATGGCCACAGGTCACACACACACACTGCACAACCACAGTCATACATATATAGACACATTGGTGCCATGTCCAGACACGGGCTCCCAGATGGACACTTACATGCAGTGTGGCAGACACACACCCAACTGCTGCATCCACAGACACACACGGGTGCCTCCAGACAGACAGTTAAGAGGACAAAACACAGACCCCCACACAAATGGCCACAGAGAAACATGGAATGCTTCTGGGTGCAGGCGTGGAGCCCCGCCACAGCCACACAGAGACACCGCCTTGTAGGCACATGAGAGAGACAGACACATGTGAACATACAGGGTTACACAACACACACTTCCCTTGCCCTGAGAGTCCTACACAAACAGGGCCCTCAGCCTGAGTGTCACCCTCGTGCCTGACAGCTCCATGGTGAACTCTGGATCTAGAAGCAGGGTCCTAGCCGGCCTCCAAGCCTCATTTCTCGGCTCCTGGCTGGGTCACCTGCCAGCCCCCAGCCTCGGCCTGCCGGGCAAGGGTCCTCTGGGACCCCGCCCACTCCTCCAGCCCCAGGGGAGGCTTCCACCACGCCAAATGGACAAGAGGGCCAACAGGGTGGACCATACAAGCCCTGCAGTGCTGCCCAGCACATGCTGGGGACCTGCGGGCACACCTGCTCACACCAGGGCCTGGTGCACACACACCAGTGTGTCTGCAGAAGTGGTTCAGGAACCGCCAGGGCTGAGCAGCAGGCTGGGCTGCTGCTCCCACCATCTGTCACTCACGTGCAGCCTCAATGGGGGCTAAGCTGAAAGCAGCTGGCATGTGAATTACAACTTCTTGTCCAGGAAACATTCAAAGCAGCATTTTGCGGAGAAGACCACGAATGACACATGGTGGTATGGAAGCAGAGGGCTGCCCAGAGGCTCTGGCAGGGAGACCCCAGCTGCCCCAGGCGTCTCAGGAGGCTCCACATGGGGTGTCTCTGGGCCCAGCCTCTCGGGACTCCCAGACCCTCCAGGACAGGTGCAGGCCAGTGGGTGTTCTGAGTCTTGCCCCCAAAACTCCCCATCACTGCCCCAGTTTGCCCTAGTGCCAACCTGGACCACATGGCGCCTCCCAAAGCACAGCTCCTGTCCAGGCCTGGCCCAACCACCCCTGTCAACAGTCAGGAGCGGCTGGCACATCAGGACCACGCAGGCCCATGGGAGGAAGGAGCAGCCTGGGGCCACCAACCATGACCGGACAACAGATCAGAGTACAGGGGCTGCCCGAGGAGAGCAGAGGCCTTCCCAGGAAAGCACCCTTGGGAGCCGCCTGGGGCCACTGCCCAGACGCGTACAGCGCCCCCGGTCAAAGGCTCAAAGATGCTACAGCCTGGCTCGGGATTTGAGGCAGAAGGCAGAGTTGCCTGGGCTGGCAGACCCTGGGGGTCGAGGAGCTGGGGGAGGGGAGGGCCAGGGACCCGCGGCTGTCCCTGCCACCCGGGGAATTAATGGGTTAATTACACACCCTATAAAAAGCCGCTGTGATTTAGAGAGCCTGCCTGTCAGACCCTGGAACTCTGGAACTCGCAGTTAATCAGGAGCTGCGGGATGAGGCAGGCGGAGCCCAGGCCCCTGCCCTCCAATGAGCTGAAACGGCCGTAAATCTGCAGAAACGGCTTTTATGGAGCTCTGGGTTTTATGGTGTCATTAACGGGCCTCCTGATACTTAAGGGGAAATGAAATAAAGTCACGGGGAGGGGGCTGGGGGACAGGGAGGGTGGCCCCCGCCATGGCCGGAGTATCAAGCGGCAATAGGCCGGCCCCCCTCCCGCCCCTGATGACAGCTAAGAGTGGGTGCCTCACACCCTGTCCAGCCTCTTTGGCCGGGCCAAGCACAGCTGGGGAGGTGTCAGGGCATGGGGGCAGGGGGCAGAGCGGGGAGGGCATACGCTGCAACTGCTCCATGTGCAGAAACCCCGACACCAAATGCTGCCCCACAGGACCCAGGGTGTCCAGCCCACTGCCCACTCCTCTGCAGGGCAGGACTCAGAGTCCCGCTCCCTCTGAATCTCTGCCCACTCTGGCCCATCCCCATCCTGTACAAACTCCATTTCCAGCCTAGGGGAAGCGTTCAGTACAGTCGGGGCGCCCCGTGGGTCGAGGGTCGCGGTTAGAGTAAGGGAAGCAGACAGCAGAAGGAGGGTGGGAGACTTACGGAGTAACCTCTGCCTGAGACTGCCTGCGCCGAGCTCTGCAGGGAAGGAAGAAGGACAGTCAGGAACCGGTTGCAGCCCGTGATGGTCACCCTCTCCCTTGAGGACCTGAGCAGGCAGAGCCCATCCTGGGTCTTCGCTGGAACTCCGGGCTGGGGCCACACTGATCAGCCTGCAGCAGGGCCCGAAGACCCACAGAGGGACCTTCCATCCCCAGACCTGGAGGTATGGTCCAGCCCAGAGGAGTCTCAAGGCAGAGAGGTGGCAAAGCCCCCAAATTCTCCAGGGGTGGGCTCAGCCCCTCCCAGAGGACGTGCCCCACCTCTCCACGTGGGGTTCTGGGTCAGGGGCTGACCCCACTCTGTGCTCAGGTCAGCTTTTCCCTCACCACCCACCAGCCTCCCAGGGTCACAGGGTCCAACGGAAAAGCCTGGGAAGGTTTCCTGGAGAAGGAGCTAGGCAGGTAATCCTGGGGCCTCAGATGTCAGATGGGGGCAGGGGGGTCAGCTATGGCCTAGAGGTCAACAGTCATGCCAGAGGTCCTGTGAAGGTGACCCCGACTATGCTTGATGGAGCGCCCTCTGGCTCAAATGGGCACTTAAGATCTAACGAGAGAAACCAGTTAGGTTCATTTCACCAGCTCCCCAGGGCAGGCGGTGGTCACCAGGGTTGAGCCCCGAGGCCCAGGCAGACAGGACGTGATGACCCAGCAGGTGGGGGGGGTGGCGGGGTGGCGTCCACACAGCTGGCGAGGGCAAGCTTGTCTGAAATGTGTGGGACCCACGGACCTGGGGCCAGACCACACTGAGGTCCAGATGCCAAGATTCCTCTGGGAGGATGGGTGACCACTGCAGCCTGGACCACTCTGCTCAGCTCAGCTGGGGCCAGGGGACCCCTCCCCTCCCCAGGCAGACCCTGGCCAGGCCCCAGACCAGTTCCTGGGGGTCTGCCAGGCCAAGCTCACCCCAGTGTGTGTGTGTGGGGGCCCCTCACCCCCGGGGTAGCTCAGGCCCCAGGCCCTGCCACTGGGTGGGGGGGGCAGGTGCCATAATTGCCCCCAAGCTTGCACACTCACGCTGCCTGTGCTGTGCCTACAATCCGCCTGCTCCCATCCTGGCCGGCAATTAGAGGAGTTCGAACTAGGGCAGCCCCCGCGGCCCCAGACAATTACCAGCCTATTTTCCCATCTTGTGGCAACAAGATTGGAGCCGGGCAATTAGGCCCTCCTCCTAGCCTCCTGCACCAGCCCTCCCCCAGCCCCCATTTAAATGATAATGAGAGACGACTCGTTCCATTTAGCCCTACAGAAAACCCATCTCCGCTAGGCCGCCACTCCTGCAGCTGGGGGTCAAGAAGACAAAGGGCTCTTCCAGGAGTGCTGCCCGCCATGGGGGGGCTCTTCCGCCTAAGTCCTCATCGCACCCCCAACCCAGAGCCCCTCAACCCCCACTCCCTGCCCTTGTAACACCTGCCCCATCCCCCTTCTTCAAGGTCTAGGGAGACCCAGCAGCCCTGGAGGAATACCCTGCACCCCCATTGCTGGCCACGTCCCACTGGGAGCCCTCATGTGTTGCCTGGATCATCCCCAAACTGGGTCCTAAGACCCCCTCTCCCCTGCCCCCTGGGACCTGAGCTCAGGGACCTTTTCAACAGGACACACCGAAGGGCGTCCCCAGACCCCACCCAGCTTGTGCCTCAGAGGGGCACCCTCCCCTCCGCGTGGCCCCCAGTGGCAGAGACCTGGATGCTGGATGCCCCGTGCTGCTGCCAGCCTGAGCTGACAGGCAGATCCACCTGGGCAGGCAGGAGTGTTTGCAGCTCACTGGTCCAGAAACGCACCCCCTGCCTCCACCCTTCTTTAGACACATCTGTAGGGGCTGTTTGGCATCCACAGCCCTGCCCGCCACCAGCTGGGCACCGACCCCGAGCCTACCCTCCAGCTGGACAGAGGGACTGTACCCCAGCACGGTCGCCTCTACTTGCCCTGCTGTGCCTAATGGTTGGTCCTCATTTAAATCCCTCCTAGTGGGGAGGCCCCAGTTAGTAGACAGTCATGCTTTAAAGAAGGCAAATGCTAACTGAGCACAAAACCCTGGACTCAAGACTCCGGGCCCCTAAGCAAATGGCTTGCAGTGTCCGCTGAAGGTTGGAGGCTGGCCGGGCAGTCACCCCAGGGACTCGGAAGTGTTCCCGAAAGCAGCTAGGGTACTCACATCACTGAGTTGGTCCCGAGAACTGCTCCTCCGGGAGCTGGTGGCTTCTCGGAAGCTGTCGCCGTCACTGTTGTGGTCACCCCCTCTGGACACTGCAACCTTCATCTGGGGACAGGGAGAGATGAGAGACGGGCTCAGCACACACACCCTGCAGGGTGGGGCTGGGGCACAGCCAGGCTCAGGCTCCTCCCTCACTCCACCCGGTCCCTCTGGGCTGAAACCCGGGGAGGGGGGCGGCAGGGCAGAGCCAACCACTGACAACCCAGAAAGTACTGCCCATTCCTACCCAGAATGGGAAAGAAGAGCCCAGAGAGCAAAGGGTGAACACTCAGTGGCATGAACTACTCTCAGCTCTGTCCTTTCCTCTGGCCGGCGGGCGACTGAAGACTCCTGGATGGGGAGCGGGCTGGTGGGTGGCTCCAGCCTTTTCCACTCCGCCAGGGGCCCATGATCACGTGTCAAGACAGGCCTGCCTGTGGCAATTCATCTCTGCTCCCTGGGCCCTCTTCAGCCCTCACCACAACCCAGGTCATGGCTGTGAGGTCTGCAGAGTTGGGTGTGGACCAGCCACTCCCCTCACTGTGTCTTAGGGCCATTACTCAAGCTCTTTGTGCCTCCATTCTGTCATCTGCAGCACGAAGCAAGTAGTACCCACTGGGACAGCTGCTGCTGGGTCAAGTATCTGCCGGAATCTCTGTAGGCCAGCAGGCCCTCAGCTCCTTGCTCCTCACACAGAAGCCCTAGTTGGCTGCTCTGTGCCCACTTACAGAGGAAGAAATCACGGAGAGAGTTGATTAACCACTACGGAGGTTAAGTGACAGTGTGGAAAGTGGATCCAGAAACCTGCCTGCGTTCTTTTCACTTGGAAATAAGTTTCAAACCTCACCAAGCTGCAGGGCAGGGACACACATCACAGCCCCTGACCCTTGATCTCCGGGCCCAGGAAGTCACCACCCCGATCATGCCAGCTCCCAGCTGCCCTCCTGGACTCCCTGGCAGGACCCATTGAGCTTGGCTGTCCCACCACCTCCAGGTGGCTCCAGCTTCCTGGTTCTGGAACATTCCCACGGCTTTGTCTGGATATGCACCGACAGCCCAAACCTTCGACTGTCTGTCTGAGGTTTTCGAGCAACAGACCAAGGCCAGGGCTCCCAGCCAGCACACTGCCTAGCACCCAATGACCCCTGCTCTAGGTGCTGCCGATGTATCTGTGGAGCAGCATGTGGCCTCTTGTCCACCCCCAGGCCTCCCCGCCCAGAGCAAATGCTCTCAGCTCAGGCATGCTGAGAACCTGCGCCACGACCAGGGGCAGGGAGGCCCAGTCCTTCGCATCCAGCCATTTTTGTCGTAAGCATCCTTCAGCCCTGGAGACCTCAGCTAAGGCGGAAAGTCACAACGGGTCAGCCAGGTGCACCAGCTGTGCTCTGGGATATTCCTGAGCCTCCAGGAAACCCCAAGACCTAAGCCCTTCTTTCTGCGGACCCCACGGTGGGCTCGCTCTCTCGAGGCTGCCCCTCAGAGCCCCTGCTCCCCAGGGCCAACCTAAGCCCTAGATGGGGTACAAGTTCCCCATAGCCACAGGCCCCTGCACGGTGTGGCTAGCAGAGTGTAATCACAAAACATAAGTGGCACTCATCCAGCCCGGGCCTGGGTGCAAGGACCCAGGGGTGGGCCCCCCTCTGGGGAAGCAGGAACGGCGAGGGGGAAGCCTAGCCCTCAGTACTACGCTCCCATCCTATGGAAGGCCCAAGGAGGGGGCCCAGTCTCACGACAGGCACAACTCCCCCACTGTGACCCCAGGGGTCCCCAGCCTCACTAGCTCCACCCTGCACAGCAGAGTGGTGAGTGCACAGACCCGGGGCCAGTTCTGGCTCTCTGACTATCCTTGAGCCTCAGTTTCCTCATCTGTGAAGTGGGGGTGTCGACAGGGCTCTTCACAGGCTCTATGGGGGTAAGAAGTTCTGTTTGTGAGTCTGAACCCTTCTCTAGCACCGATAAGCCACCAGGTGTCACTGCTGTCACCAGCTGGCGACAGGTCTTTCTTGCTTCTGGACTCCATGACAGGTCTTCCCAAAAGGAGTGAATATGGGGACTGGGGGAACTTCCTCACTGCCTTGCTGGCAAGGAGCCCTCTGCAAGAAAACAAATGCCCTCATCCAGTGGTTTTCAAAGTAGGGTCCCTGGACATGCAGCATCAGCACCTGGGAGCTTGGCAGGAATGCAAATGAGCACTTCCGGGCCCCACTACAGACTCGCTGTGTCATCAGGTCCTCTGGGGGATCCTGGTAAGGCTCTAGTTGAGACTCTTGGTTCTGACCTTTAGTAATCACCCCCATGAACCCACCTTCACTACTGGGGGACAGTATTTCAGGTTGGGCTCGGAGCAGGGTCCCTGCCCAAGAAGAAGGCTGGACCCAGAGACACTGCAAGGACAGAACAGGCCTGGCACAGTTGTGCAGGTTGCTCACTGTACAGACACCCAGCAAAGGGGGAGGGGAAGTGGAGGCTGAAGAACAGCCCACACACAGCTGAAAGGTGAGAAGGCAGGATGCCACATTCTATTTCATTCAGTCACACAAGTGATCTTCTCTCTAAGCTGGACCCTAGAGAGGATTCCTATCTTTACTCTTTGGTGATGCCCCGCAGGAGGAGGACAGGCTGGGGTCTGTCATCCTTCCTCAGGCAGTGGGTTTTAGCTCTGAAAGTCCCATTTCCCAGAAAATCCCATTAAACTGAGCACTGTGCCCTGGGAACCATCAGAACCCTGGACGTACTGGGATGGCTGGTCACCTTCTCTTCCTTGGCCAGGCCCAAGCTGGACTCTGGCTGTCCTGTAGCCCCACCTGCTTCCCAGTGGCTCAGAAATGCTGCTGGCCAGCTATGCCAGAAGGCCAGGGATGCCATGCCTCCATTTTTAGCTGAAGGGATCAGATTCTGATCTGGGCCCTGTACTGGGAGGGCAGCTGGGAGCCCCTGTGCCTGGGCCCACCCCTGGGTCTTGTGGTCTATCCCTATGCCCACCAACCATCCTTTATCCATCCATTCATCCTTTACCCACCCATTCATCCTTTATCCATCCATCCACCATTCCACCCATCTACTTGTCCACTTAACCATCTGCCCACCATCCATCCATTCATCCATCCATCCACCTATCCATCTATCCATGGGAAGATAGACCACTCACCACCCACCATCCACCTACCCATCCAAGGCTTACTGAGTGCCTGCGTATGAACCAGCCCTATTCTGAGCAAGGAACATAAACAGACCCAAGTCCCCACCCTCCCGAAGTCTACAAAGAGGCCAGCACATGGAGCACGTGGCTGGCAGACGGTCACAGCTGCTCTGGAAGGACAACAGCAGAGAAGAGCAAAGAAGGGGTCGCCAGGGAGGGCCTCACTAAGACAACACTTCTGAAAGGTGATGAGGCAGGTCACGAGGCTATTGGGAAGGGTGGGAAGATGGCACTGCCAGAGCAATGCGGCTCCCTGGAGGAGAGGAGAGCCCTAATGGGCACTGGAAGTTTCTGTAAGTTGTGCAAAATTCCTGAACACTGAACAATTGGCTCGCAAGGTGGCATACCACAAAAACATGTCCTCAGACTGGCGGGGGCAGGACTCCCCTTGAGACTGGTAGAAATGTGGAAACAGGGCCCTGCTCTCCACCAGGCAGGGTCAGGACACAGCCCTCAGAAGGGCAGGGAGAGGCCCTCCCCTTAGATCAGCATGGCTGGGGCACTGCCATCGGAGCAAAGGTGAGGGACATCACCCTCAGACTGAGGCACCCCGGGAGCACCTGGGGCCCTACGCTTCCTGGCAGTAACAGAGAACCCCCTCATGTGACCCTTCCTGGGCAAGGCAACTCCCCAACCAGGTTCCGCAGCAATTCCGGGAGGAAGTGTCGCCTCCTAGGTGGGCTGCCAAGTGCCCTGGGCCACAAACAGGCAGCACGTGGTTCCACTTGACCCTCAGACCCACAGGGTGTGTGTGGTGGCGGTCAGTCCAGGAGGCGTGGCTGGGAAGGGGTCCAAGAGGTGGGACCTGGCAGTGTCGCCAGGCTATGTCACCAGGTGCCTTCCCCCTATGGGGGACAGGAAACTCCCTATGCCTTGGACACCCCAGGGCTCACTCAGGGGCCCCAGCATCCCTCACTCCAGCAGCGAGAAGACTCACTGGGACTCCTGACCCTTCACAGACCAGCTCCCACCAGGACACAGAAACAAAAGAGCACCAAGAGTCCCTGGATGGCCCTGCACGCCCTCAACAAGGCCTCTTCTGCCCACATCCCAACACAGCGCCTGCCTGCTCCTGAGAGCTGTCTGATGCTCTGTGCGTTCACCACCTTACTGAGACTCATGCCTGAAGCAGGATGCAGAGGCCCTCCCCCACCACGCCTACCTAGAGCCCTGCCGCACAGATGGAGCAGAGATGCCCTCTGCAACGTGCTCAACTGCTGCACACGTGCAGATGCACATGCCATCCATCCATGGCGAGAGTGGGAGTGGTGGCCCTAGAGTTTTGCAATGTGCAACCTGAACAGCCATACGTGGCGGCCCCTGCAGGAGATCATTCCCCACCAGATGGCTTCACCCCCAGACAAGTGTCATCCCATGGAGCTCTCAGGAGTGCACACGAGCACACACACACATTCTCAGGAGCTCTGGGCTCTGTCCCATGCCTCTCCCACCTTCCCCCCAACACCAGCCCAGTCCAGGGGTGGGAGGTGCCCTCTGACCCATGGCTGGTCTGCACTGGCCTCCAGGATGAGGAGAGGCCCACTTAGCCTCCACACCTACAGGCCTGGGAGGGGAAGGGGTGGGGATGGATTGGCTACAGACCCTGGGGAACCCTGAGAAGAGGGCTGTGGCTGAGGCCACCCATGGTCTCCTTCAAATCTGTGAGAGGACATGACCTGGGGGGTGAAGCGAGGGTCAGGCACCCACTAAGCATCAGCAACCACCCCTCAGCCCCAAGTCAGCCGGGACACTATCCCAGGGAGAAGGAAGTCATGAAAGTACCCTCATGACATCCTTACATAAACAGAGCACAGGCTCCTAACAGCCGAGGCACCCCATTCCATGTCTACTCACAAACACCCACAAA